TTATAACCTCATCTCTGCTTAACGATGTAACATTTCCCAAGCATTCGTTATATAGAGGTGTTCGATATAGCAACCCTCCACTTAACTAACACATTTCCCCAGTCCCTTTGCATGTTAAATCGAGGTTCCACAATGTACTTAAATGCTTCGATCACTAAAACTCCTTTTAAACTATATCATACAGCAGAGAAGTTGATAACGGATTTGTTGTTGTTCTTGTTGCAGGAAGACGAAAAGTGATTAATGAAAGAAGATGATTAAGAAAAATAAATATCAATCGTTTTTTTTTTTAAAAATGGTGTATTCATTTGTATTTAAAAAAAAATTTTGAACGTCGTTTCTCCTTAGACAACAACTACTCGTACGTCCAAGCCCCTTACAGAGGCGTCTTCTCTATTTTCTAAACAACCATTTTTCGACTAGATTCTGTTTTTTAAGAGCAGGGGATTTTTAGATAAAACTTCATTGACAATCATTATCATCAACCTCTCTCATAATATTGGGAAAGGCTTTTCGTTTTGCGTGGTTTGTAGAATCTCGTTTTTGACTCTCTTTTACTATTCATTGTAATTATTATTCTTTAAAAGTTCATATTTCAGTTTATTTGTTGCTTTGGTACATGTATGTTCTTTTTATCCCCATATAACGGGAACGTGGGATCCTATTCACCACCGGTGTTTAGTTTTCTGTAAGCTAAATATTAATTTAAGTAAAACCTTCATACACCAAGAAGGGTGGCTTCAGAAAAGAATAAGACCCGAGGATGATAATTGGTGGTAGAAATGAATAGTCTGTTGAACGTTGTCCTTCCTCTTCGACAACAACTAGTCAAACATTAGAGCTCGTTACAAAGCTTTCTTCTCTATTTTTATAAAAACCATTTTTCAATCACTATTGATTTTATTCACATTGAAATGTTGCGAGTTCTTAGGCTCAGTAAACCTTGTAACACACATTTCCTAAACTCCTTTTTGTTATTGGAAATGCTTTTCATTGCGCGTGTTGACTAGAATCTCGTTATTGACCCTCTTTTATCATTCATTGTTATTCTTTATTATTAGTGAATTTGTTGTTATGACTTAAGAATTAATCATCTTGTACATTCGTGACCTTGTACTCAAAACCGTGACGTAAAAAGGTTCACACTCAGCCTCTCTCCAACATCAATAGCACAACATAAAAGGAAATTTAAGTCTTCGTTAAGTTTTACGACAAGTGATATTGTATACCGCAGGACCCAACCTAGAGAGTACAGTGAGGGATCGAGGGGAGGGGCCCGGGCCACTATTTTTAGACCAGCATGAGGCTAGAAGAGCAAAAAATGTTATTTTAGACTGGGTCCGCCACTGCAGTAACATCGAAAAGAATGTGGCAGTTTGAAAGTATCAGAAAAGTTCACGAATTTTATAGACGGTGTTCTCTTGAAAGGAAATTTCTTTCTTCGCAGTGAACGAGTATTTTAAAATCGATGATTACGAAAACTAACGTTTTGGAAACCCATAACCACCGGATTGTAGCTTCCAGTAAGATTTAACTAAAAAGACTAACGATTGCGTGGATAAGAAAAGATTTAAAAAACCTTCATGACAACAAAATGGGTCGCTTCGGACGATCAGCCGAAGATGATAACAAGAAAAAAAGACCAGTCACTTGAATGCTGTTTTTCTAGTCAAACTGTTTCAACGAGTCAAACGTCTGAGCTCCTTACAAAGACATTTCTCCATTTTTAAAAAAACCGAATTTCGAGTAGCTTTTCTCTTTTTTTACGTTTAATGAATTCTTAGCAAATCTTTGAATCAAAATAACCCATTTAAATTTGTTACTCGTGACGGGAAAGGCTTTTCCATGGACATGGTTAGTAGAACATCGTTTATGATCCTCGTTTACCATTCGTTGAATTATTCTGTGTAAGGGCAATCCATGTTTCAGTTTATTTGTTGTTACAAGGTCAACTATTCTCGAACTTGCTTTGGTGCTTGTAATTTTTTAGCCGTATATAACGGTGACGTGGGAGTGTCGACATTCTTTCCAGAATAAGAAACTACAAAGACATCTACCGATGAAAAGCAAAACGGACGATTTCGATGCCTAATCACCACCGGTGTC